GACGTGGCGATCATTCACTTAGAAAACATGCATTAATACTTGACTGTACAATGGCGTTCCATGTGTAGCAGTGGATCCAACAATAAAATCCGCTGATGATTATTGTGTGCCAGTTACTTACAGTTGGGTAGTAGACACTGGAAGTTAAGCGAGGTGATAAAGTTTGAGGCAATTCTTCAGTTATGGAAGGCAATGTGAAACTGCTTTAATTTGGACGCATAACAGTAGTGGCTCCCTAAATACCGGTTTTAAATCAAAGTGTCCATAAATATAGGGACAACCTGCAAGATGTCCGTGTTCTCCGAAGCCTCTGCCGCTCCTCCATTCAGTGTCACTTGATGCAAACATAACTTTACTTGTTTATTCCAATTGTGCATTTGGTGACACTATATCACTAGACTTTCCTAATTCCCATTTATAATGGCAACAATCATAGCAAGTGTGACAAATTGCATTGCACTTTTAGGTCATGAATTGATAACAGTGGAAACAAGTTTGTTCGTATTGCCTAAAATAATAATTGCATTTAAAATGTGCTTGGATTAATAGGAACTTTTGAACATGCAGCCATTTCTGCGTTCAGCACAAACATTCTATTTAGATACCACAATCTCCTCCCAAAACTAACTCCAACCTCTGGAATGATAGCCATGCCTCTGGTTATTCACTCGGACATTCATTGTGTCCTATGCTGCACACAGAATATCTCCCCCTGTTCCTGACACACTTTCAATGTCTACTGCTAAAAATAATGCTGCCCATGATGGGTGCAATGAAACATGGCGAATATTTAAGCACATTGATAAGACCTATGGTTTGTGTTACCGAAGGTGTAATAAGTGTAAAATCTGAAGTACGTTTAATACTTTCTCTTCTACTTCCTCTTGCATGCTCAAGTGTGGAGAACTTTTATTTATCGAACATTCGCCCATGCCGCATGGAGAGTTGAATATTTTGCAATTAAATCAATTAAATGATGCGATAATAATAACTGCAGCTTACATCCCTCAAGTGTCACTACTACTAGTGATTAATCAGTAGGGAGGCACTAAAACACGATCCCTCGATGAATATTGAAATGCTGTTCCTAAATGCGACCTTTAGAATTCTGTTTGCATGAAATTCTACAGAACACCAACAAGCGCACTTTAGTCCTCTAGGACAAACCCAAGGGTGAATAAATCGTTATTCCCCAAATCCAGTTTTCTGATCCGATTTCACAGAAAGGGGACGGATGCAGTATTTTGCTGTATTTGCATTTGAAGTAAGATAAAATTCGATGCTGTACATGTCCGACGGTCGCATCAATTTTGGCAGAATATTCACGAGTTGAGTGAGATCAAATCGGATAGCACCCATGTCCCACGTTTGCATCAATTTCGGCACAAAATGCACTAGTGCAGATTTGACCGCTAAAATAAACCAAAGAAAAAACTAGTCGTTTTTCCTTTCAACTCCTATTTTCTGATCCGGTTTTGTAGGACATGTGGGGGTGGCGTATTTTGATTTAGGGTCATTTTTATGGGATGAATCATTTGACGAGATGGTGAACATGCCAATACTTGCTTCTAGTTCTTTGCATAATAATGCTTAGTGACGAAGGATAGAAAGTCTCTGATACGCATATTTGTCACTCGCGATAGGATAGTAGAAGGTGTCATTGGGGAAGTGTCTGCTCCTCTCGCTGCACGTGCTTCTTCACCACGACACGGAGGCGATGATAGGCATGCTGACCTACACTTTCTTACCTCTCCTCCAGCTACATCAACTGTTTGAGTGTCTGTTTGCCTGCCTACCCTTTGGCCACGTCACAAAGACCACAGAGGAGAAGCACTTCTCCTTCTGCCCTCAGATTTACCATTATCTTCGGTGTGGTGACAGTGAAGGAGGGTAGATGCCACCGAGATCGGCGACGTCGCAGTAGCAGATGTTCCCTCTAATTTGACGTTATATGGTTGACATCAAGTAGTTCTGTTCCGTATATAGTAGGAGTTAGAGCAAATTTTTGATGGTAGTTTAGGTGATATTTCGTGTTTTTAATTGGTTTGGTACTTTAGGGGGCGTGTCCATATATATATGTACATATTTGACATGGAATGAACCAAACTAGTGCTAATACCTCGCCATCTAGTGTGGAATACGATGGTGCTAAGCAGAATCTGCTAAATAAAAGAGGAATTGTTTTATTTACCCTTCTGTTTTGGACAGTATCTCATGGAAAATATTGCTACTGCGCAAAAACATTACAAATTTTATGATTTGCGTCGACAGTGTACATTTATCTTGTGAGTGGAAACTTCTCATTTACTCGTTTTACTTCTCAGTCAATTCCAAGCTGATGGTAGTCGTTCATGTCACCGCGACAGCCACAGATTTGGAGAACTTCGAGGGAAAAAGGTAAAGAAAAAGGATGAGTAGGAGTAGGTGACAGAAATTTAGCTGAGACTCCATCATTAGAGGAGGAGGAGGAGGAGGAGGAAGCGTTTTCACAAATGTCTCGTCTGCTACTGGAGCCGGAAACGCCACCACGTTCAGGTTTTATTAGCGCGAACCGCACAATTTCACCTAATAGGAAGAGGAAATAGGGACCGCCCGTCAGCTCTTTCTAACACTCATAGCTACAGGCCTCACTCAACACACTGTGCGACAGTCAGTTTCAGCTCAACTGATCACTTAAAATGGCTTAGCCAGAAGAACGAGTTCATCATGGTGGGGTGAGAAGGAGAGGCCAGGAGGGCAGAAAACATTGCCCAACCTAAGATGAACAGGTGCCACGGGACAATGTTCCTGTCAAGTACGATGCTAGCCTCCAGCCTCTCAATCCGCATATGGTGTCCACAAATGCAACTCAATTCCACGCTTAATAAAAGGATGAGAACTTCAATTAGATCGGGTCCTGTCCAGAAGAAGTAACCTACGAGATAAAGATGCACTGGGTTTCTAAGACAGGATTCCAAACATCTAACCGTACCCAGTCCTCGTAGGCCTTGTTGAACAATTTTTTCATTTTCCATTCCTTTGAATATCTCCAACTAACCTTAGTTGTAGCTACTCAGACAAATATTCAAAAATGGCATAATTTGCCTGTAATTTAGATGTTTGCATCTCTTCGTTAGAGGAAGTGTTATTTTATCGGCTGAAGCAGGCGCCATCGTAAGCGTCGCAAAAAGCACTTGAAGTACAGATCATTTACCACCATTCTTGTGAACCTCTTGTACACATGCAAGCAGAAGACTTTCTTGATCCCACCTGTTCCAGGGTCATAAATGGACTCCCTAACATACTCTGCTTCCCAATGAAGAGCGAGTTTGGTCAGGCGATTCCACTGCCCTTTCCAACTCATGTCCTTCTGTGTGATATAGATGGTAATAGGGATGGGGAGGTGTGTATGCCAAATAGGCAAATTCGTAAAGGTAGATTGGCTAGTCGTTGTTGTAGGCAGCTAAATGGCTTGCCTTTGAATCACGGTCT